GGGCGGCCAGCTAGGCAGTAACATAAAAAGATCAAACAAAAAGAAATAACAGGCCCATTAAGAGAGGCCCATTAGCTAACAGGAAAATAGAAAAAATATTACAAGAGAAGATACTAGGACCCATTCGGCCCGGTCTCTTTACAGTCCTATTTCTACATGGTCAGAAATGAAGAAACATTTCAGGGACAAGTACCTCTCAATGGACTTCCAAGATGAGTTATATGAGGAAGTGAGTAACCCCAAGCAAGGTACGTTATCTGTAGTTAAATACATATGTAAATTTGATTAATTATGTTTACTTGTGATACTACTAAAAAAGTGAGAGGCAAAAATTGACTCGATTCAAGAATGGACTAAGGGTTGAAATCAAGAAAGAGACGGTAACTGCTCGAGTCTTTGACTTGGAGGATGCCTACCAAGTTGCTGTCAAAATTGAGAAGAGTTTAAAGCAAACAAATACAAAGCAATTTGTATCACAAGCCGGGGAGTATGCAGCTCATAAGCAAGCTGATGGGGGAAACACTTCTAGGCCAGCATATTCTAATGCCAGCTCTAATAAGCCTAGTGGTTCTAGGGCTTATCAAGGGAATGACTACAAGTTGCTTTAGATGTGGAGAAAAGGGCTATATGGCTTACCAATGTCCTATCCAAAGCCTTTAATATCATTTATGAAAAAGGCATTGAAATGGTGGATGATCCAGACGATGACTAAGCTGAAGAAGAGGATTATTCCTTCACTGATGGTGATGCTTTAGATGAAGACAGCAACTATGTTGGTATAGTTCGGCGTATTCTTGCATCCCTAGAGGAAGAAAACAAGATTGGCTTCATGCAGCAATATTTCAAACTATAGTGAAGAATGGAGACAAGTATTGTAAGCTTATCATAGATGCTGGCGGTAGTATGAATGTGATTTCTAAAGGCACTATTGGATCAGCTAAAGTTGACACCACGACCATACAAGATTGCTTAGGTTGATAAGACTACAATTCTGGTAACTAAACGAGCTCTTGTTACTATTTCTTATGGTAGTTATTCTGATTCTATTTGGTGTGGCATTGTTCCTATGAATGTTATACACATATTGCTTGGAAGGCCTTGGTTGTATAACCTATCATTGTGGAAGGGAGAAAACCTATCACTTCCTATTTAACGGGAAGTGAGTTATCATGAAACCAATGTCATCGGAAGTTATTAAAAGGCATGTCAAGCCACCTCAAAAGAAGACTACAACCCAAAAGCCCGTTGTTGAACCTTTAAAAAATCGCTACATCTGCTCTCCAAAAAAAGAGTTTGAAGTAGAAAGCAAGGAGATGGGAGTTGTATATGTTGTAACATCCAAGGAGGTAAAGCAACCAAATGTTGTTCCACCTACTAAAATGCCTAAAGAAGTGGTCTAAGTGTTGGATGAGTTTTCAGATTTGGCACCAGAAAAGATACCTAATGAGTTACCTCCCATGAGAGACATTCAACATGCTATTGACTTACAGCCAGGGTCACAATTGCCCAACTTACCAGTTTATTGCATGAATCCTATAGAGCAAACTGAATTTATACGAAAAGTTGATGTTCCAACTCCTCTCACTCCAAATAAAAATGGTTCTTGGTGTATGTGCGTTGATAGCAGAGCAATCAAAAAGATTACTATCGAGTATAGGTTCCCTTTTCCTAGGCTTGATGACATGCTTGATATGATGATTGGAGCAACCATTTTTTTTCTAAGATTGATCTAAGGAGTGGCTATGATCAAATACAGATTAGAGTTGATGATGAGTGGAAGACTGCATTTAAGACAAAAGATGGCTTATACAAATGGTTAGTTATGCCATTTGGACTAACCAATGCCCCTAGTACTTTCATGAGGATGATGACCCAAGTACTTTGATCCTTCATTGGTTGTGTCCTAGTTGTTTATTTTGATGTTATTTTTATATATAGTCATAGTCCAAAAGAACATATTGATCATCTATATCAAGTGATGAGAGCTTTGCACCAAAAGAACTCTACATCAACTTAAAAAAAAAAATGCTCTTTCATGACACCTAAAGTTATATTTTTGGGGTTTGTTGTTTCTGCTGAAGGCATAAGTGTTGATCCAGGGAAAGTAAAGGCTATCTTCAAATGGCCCCTCCCTACCAATCTTCAAGAGGCTAGAAGTTTCCATGGCCTAATATCCTTTTATAGGAGATTTATTAAGGGGTTCAGCACTATCATGGCTCCAATTACTGATGCAATGAAAAGAGGTGAATTTAATTGGACCAAAGCAGCATTAAGCACGTTTGGGACTATAAAGAAGAAAATGACAGAGGCACCTATTTTACAACATCCAGACTTCTCTAAAGTCTTTGAAGTGGCATGTGATGCATATGGTGTAAGAATTGGAGGGGTTCCCATGCAAGAAGGCCATCCCATTGCATTTCATAGTGAGAAACTAAATGAAGCCAAGTAGAAAATATTCAACTTATGACGAGTTATATGTAGTAGTGCAAGTTCTATGACATTGGTGACACTACTTAACATCTAAGGAGTTTGTGCTTTATTCAGATCATGAATCTTTAAAATACTTGAATTCCCAAAAGAAACTAAACTATAGGCATGGGAAGTGGGTGTCGTTCCTACAAGAATACACCTTTGTTCTTAATCATCAAGCTGGAAATGAGAATAAAATGGCAGATGCGCTAAGTCAAATGGCTTATATACTTCATTCCATGAATGTCCAAGTTGTTGGTTTTGATCAACTAAAGAAAGACTATGCTAAGTTGTAAGGATTTCAGCATCATCTATACTGACTTACAAGCTGGGAAGCAAGACGAGTATCCTTCCTTTTCACTACATAATGGTTATCTGTTTTATAATACCTACTTATGTCTACCAAATACCACTTTATGGAACATTGTTATTGGGAGTTACATGCTGGAGGTGTACCAGGTCATTTTGGTAGAGATAAGACCATTGCTATGATGGAAGATAGGTTTTATTGGCCCAGTTTGAAGAATGATGCTGCTCATATGATAAAGCAATGCAGGACATGCCAACTTGCCAAAGGACGAAAGCATAACACTAGACCATATACACCCCTACATATTCCTCATGAACCATGCAAGAGTTATCCATGGATTTTGTCCTTGGATTGCCCAAGAGGCCAAGACTGCTAGGGGTCATGATACAATCTATGTTGTGGTGGATCATTTCTCCAAGATGGCTCATTTCATACCTTGCAACAAAACACATGATGCTTCACATATTGCTACTATATTTTTCAAAGAAGTGGTTCGATTTTATAGAGTGCCTTCTACTATTATATCAGATCAGGAGACCAAGTTTATGAGTTATTTTGAAGACACTTTGGAAACTACTCAATACTCAGCTGAAATTCTCTACATCGTTTCACCCCCAAACAGATGGTCAAATTGAGGTAGTGAATTGAAGCTTGGGAGATCTTTTATGGTGTCTAGTTGGTGGTCATACTTCTAGATGGGATTTAGTGCTTCCAATAGCTGAGTTTGTTTATAAGCTCAGTAAATAGATCCACAAGAGAAGTCCATTTGAAGTGCTTCTAGATGGGATCTACTTTACCACTAGATACACATACTAGAATTGAATAAGAAGCATTCGCTAGGCACATAAGAGCGATACATGATGATGTCAGGAGAAAAATTGCATTGAGCAATGATCTATACGAGGCTACAGTTGATATTCACCGACGATTGGCAAATTATCAAGAGGGAGACATGGTTATGGTACATATACGACCAAAGTGTTTTCCTAAAGGTGTGTACAAGAAGTTCCACTCAAAGAGTGCAGGTCCTTACAAAATCATCAAGAATATAAGTTCTAACGCCTATGTTCTAGAGTTGCTAAATGACATGGGAATTAGTCCTATCTTCAATGTTGATGACTTGACTCATTACCATGGACATGTGGATTCTTTAAAGACTCTTATACCTAGGTTGTCAACTATTGCAACTCCAAATGACATTCCAGATGATGTTTTAGAAGATAAAATAATATCTACTACTACAAGAGGGTATTAGAAATTCCTTGTCAAGTGGAAAGGCAATCCTATGTCTGAGAATTCTTGGATCACTACTGAAAACTTTCATCATCTCAACCCAGATCTTTATGAAACATACCATGCTTTTAACTCATCAGGGTTGAGTTATTTCAAGCCGAGGAGATGATATGAATCAACCAGTACCCTTGAAGACTTACTCTAGAAGGAAGAAGGTTTGTGCAAGTTTTGTTTCCACTGTAATTATTATTTTGTGGCAGAGAATAAGACCAAAACATGCATAGGTTTGATGTTAGGAATAAATGCCTAGAGAACCAGATAAAGTTCATTCTCCAACTCAAATACATAGGTTTGATGTCTGGAGCAAGAGTAATTTCTTGTCATTAGATATCAGTGTCAATTATGTAAAAGAATTCCATTTCTCCCTTGGAGGAAAAAAATTAATGGCTCATAACTATATCTCAAAACATTTGAGTAATTGCTGCACCCTGCCAACTATGTAAAAGAATCGAATTCTCCAACACAAATGTATAGGTAGGTTTGATCTTGAAACATTTATTGCGACTCAAACTTCTCTAAGAACAACAAACCACATAAGAAAACAAAAGTCCTTTAAAATGCTTCTGTGTTTGTAATGTTTTATAGAGTACTGTGGACACAAGGGACCTTTAAAGATTCCTTCCACTTCCAAGTTCCAAAAGATAACGAACTTATCATTACTATTTTCACTTAAATTTGTAAACACCACATCTTTGATGTAGATATGCATTAAACGTTTGATAAGAGTATGAGAGCACAAGTAATTCAAATTTCTCCCTATCGTGAATTGTAATACATAAAAATGCTTCTGTATAGTAACACTAATTCATTATTACGAAATTCTCGTATTCAAGAGCAATAAAACAATATAATCTTTCCTTATATGGTCAGTGGTCCACAAAATCGAAATTTGACTTCAGAAATTAAGTTATGGTTCGAGAAGCCTTACAAAGATGAGGGCGTCGATCTTCCTGCGGGCACTCTCTTAATAATTACACTCGAACCACTTGGAACAAGAAAGCTCTCGTCCTTGTATTCTGATTCAAGCCCAATCAAAAGAAATCATTTTCATTTTCGGGGGAATAAAAGGCAATCAAATTACAGAGGGGAAAAAGAAATAAAGTGGAACATGGGTAGGCGCTTTAAAGGAATTTCCAACGATACAACAAAGAACTGATAGTGCAGGGAAAAGAAAGAATCCAAAGGAAAAAATTACCTTCACCGGTGTCAGCATCTGCGATATCGAGATGAAAATCTTCGCAAATCTTCAAGTTCTTCTTCTGCAAAATCTTGGACCTGAGGTCTCGAATTGATATGGAAGGGCGTCCGTCGATATCAACGGAATCGAAGTCGACGGAACTCCTGAATTTGAAACGGACAGCCATGACGCAGAAAACTCCTTGGAGAGGGGAGTTCAGATCATGACCAACGATCTCTTAGGGAGATTAGAGAAAAATAGAGACAAAATTTTGGTGATTTCTATCAAGTAAACCAGAAATATTGCGATCTTAAATTAATACTTGATCTGGAGGTGGAGGGGTTTTCTCGACCTGTAATTTCTGAGAAGGAAGAAGCACCTACGGGCTACGGCGTGTCTAGACGCTAACGCAGGAACCCAAATGAACAAGAAAGAACCGTGAGCTAACTCATTGCAGCTACATCCTCAGAACCCAGCCGCACATCTGAAACATCGGTTGTACTTCACATCACCAATATTCGTTACGTGCGGTTAGATGATCGTGATCAGCAATATATTGTGGTCAGCAGATCCGGATTTACATCCTCATGGTCATCAGCGAGCCGAGCTCGTGACTCGTGTTGGGCTTGGGCTCCTTGTCAAGTCCACGAGTGAGCTTGGTTTGTCACTTTGTTTGAGGCTGTCAAAGGTCCGGGTCAACCATTATTACTAATTGGGTCGGTCTGGATATGCATTTTGAGCCCGGATTATGATAGGGTTTAGATTGGTTTACCTAAGGGTGCAAATGTATCTGATTATGATCCGGTCCTCATTGGTTGAATTCGGATTACTCCTGTTCGGATATTTTGATCCGATTCGAATTACCCCTTATCTGATTCGAGAATATCTAATCCGATATATATTATTTATTTTTTATAAAAAAAATATGCATGTATATGATGAAAATAATTAAAAAATATTTGTATCTTTTATTTTATTTAAATCAGTATATTTTATTTTTTTTAATAATTTATTAATTAAAAAACATGTTGGATCGGATCAAATCCGAATATCTGACTTACTGATAGGATTCAAATTCAAACCGAGTCCTATCAAATCCGATCAAATCTAACATGAACAATGTCGGATTGGATTTGAATCCGATCCTATCCATTTCCATCCATAGTTTTACCTATTTTGACCATTAGGCTGCATTTGGTTAGAATGTCATTTTCTTTCCGTGAGTACAAATGCATGGGAATGCAAATTCTGGTATAATTTTGGTTTGGGTTTTATTTTATTCTACCTCACGCATTATTTTACTTCATCTGCATTACAATCAAACAAAATAAGGTAAATTCTGAAACAAAAAAAAAATGAATCGAAATTTGCATTCCCATAGTTTTGCGTCAATGCAATCAAAATCAATTATATGTGTTATTATAGATAGGATAAACTACTTAATTCTTCCCCATGGGTTTCCATCAGGCATCAGATTAAAATATGGGTTTATCCATTTACTAGAGGGTGTTCTTCAATATGAACTACTTTTCTTGTTGTGAGTTTCGAAAACAAATTAAAATAATATCGTGTGAAAAAAAAAAGAGTTTCTTACAACAAAAAAAATGAAAAATACGTTATTGGTCATATACGTGTTTTATTTACTAAAATTAAAACAAAAAAAATATTCTTAAATTTTTGTTTTGAAAAACATGTTTATTTTAAATCATACAATATGTTTTATTGTTTTTCATATATAATACAATTTTTGTACTCAAACATTTATTTTTATTTTAAAAACAATAATTTTGATCGTATCAGTGATATAAATTATTTATTGAAACAAAACCAACTTGACTTTGCTTATTAAAACCAAAACAATGTTTAAGAACATAATTTTATTTAGGCTCAGTTTGTAAATAGTACAAATATAAATATATACAATATAAATGCATACAAAATAATACAAAATACAAGGTTTTACAATTTACATATTTGCATTTGTACTCCTTCCAAAATAAGTTATTTTTTTTCCTGATATGGCAATTTAAAAAACAAATGAAAAAAAAAACAACATTCATATTGCATAATACCCTCTTAATCACCCCTTCTATTTTGAGGTTAAGTTATTAATTTCACACTCTACTGACAATCCATCAATTTTAGTTTTCAAAACTGTACGGATGACATTTAAAACATTTCAAATTTCCAAATTTACCAGCACCTCCTTGTATGCTATATGGATGAAAATGCCTTGTTTACACTTATCAAAGGGACAATTTTTGTCCAACACTTTAAAGCCCGTTCGGTTTCAAGAAGTGATCTACCCAAGTGCACTTATCCATTGGAATAGATCTAGCAACAATGAAGTGGCCATTTTGGTCACGAACAATAATCCCTATTGGAGGAAACCAATGGAGCCTTGAGACGATTGGAGGTAGGGCTGCAAGTTGGGCCGGGTTAGGTCAGGTTGAGACCAACCCTAGCTCAATCCTAACCCAACCCTAACCTTAACCCTAACTAAATTCTTTCAACCCTAACCCAACCCTAACCTTAACCCTAACTAAATTCTTTCAACCCTAACCCAACCGAACCTTCTTCCCATCCCTTAAAATCATAGAATTTCTCGATTTTAGATCTTAACTCAATTCTCACCACATATATTAATCCTATGTTTCATTGGTATTTGTTTGTTGACGTTTTTTTTTTGTTCTTTTAGTACAAAATTCAGAAAAAACAAGTGTTAGAAATAACTATAGTTTATTATGATTTATGAGTTATGGTTTACGATAAATCTTTCTTAGGCGGCAAACAACATAGAGGAGATGAAGAATAAAATTTTCAAAAAAACATCAAATAATGTTATTAAGGTTTTAGTCTTTCTGATTAGGATTAAGTGAAGTGATTATCTTAAAAGAAATACATGATACTATATGGTGGGGGCTATGCAAATATTATGCATCTAAACAAATCAATGTATGTTATATATTACATATAACATATATTTATATATGACATGTACTATAGAGTCGGGTTCGGGTTGGCTAAATGATCAATCCTAACCAAATTCAAAGTAAAATTGGGTTCATAAATTTCAACCCTAACCCTAACCCAAACATCAACCCGATCCAATCGGGTTGGGTTCGGGCCAACCTGGCCCAAGTTGCAGCCTTAATTGGAGGGCTATTGGGCTGGCTATTTAATTTCAGGTCATTGATTGTGGATTCATTCAGTAGATGGTTGATAAGAGCATGCGCCCGTGTGATCGCTGTAGTGGAATTAAAAGCTTGCCGGTCAAACACCAGTCGGTTATGAGAAATTCAGATTTGCCACATGATTACCTCTCCCCGGAGGGCTGTAAAATTTGCAACCTCATCAGTAGCATCTACATTGAGCCAGGATGCGAACCAATTTGCACAAGAGCGGTTACGGAAAATATCAGTTCTAATGTTGAGGGAGGAATCAAACCAAATCAGTCTTGTGCGGGGGCAATAGAAGAGGATATGTTTTAGTTGATTCCTCAAAATTATGGCAAAGTGGGCAAGCACGATCGACCTGGACATGGCGATTTGCACAAACGACTCTAGTAGGAAGAATGTTTTGGAAGCATTTCCAAAGAAAGAGGATAATGCGGGGTGGCAGAAGTTTGAATCTCCAAAGGTGTTTCTAATTAAAGCTTTCATCCCCAGTATTGGCATTTGATGGGCCCGAAGCATCTCGGAGGAGGAGCAGCAGACTTGAAGTTAATTGTAGTGAAGTTTCCTGGGGGAGTTTGATTTTAAGGAGGGAATTTGCTGGCTCTCTCTATGTCAAAGAGATTAATTCCTTATTTCATTCTCATTCCAGCACATTGTATTATGGTCAATAAGGTTTGCCACGCTAATTCTTCTGATATTTACTTCTAATGATATAGGATAGCGGTGTGTTGTCAAAAAATATCCCAGCCATTGCCTACTAACCACAGACAATTTCTATGGTTCGAACCGTTAATCATTTGATTCAGCGATTTATTGATCAAAAATAATGATTTTTGGGGGAAATTCAGTTTTGAGAAATAACGGAACCAGTCATCTGACCGATTTCCTGTTTTTCCGATCCAACCATCCTGTCCCCTCCGGTTTTGAAAACCATGGTCTGTTGACTCTCCAACTGTTTGTGGTTTTGACCAAAATAGTTGCGTGGTCACTAGCAAAACGAGTAAGATGCTGCACAACAGCATGGGGAAAATGCTAAGCCAACCCATAGTTTACAAGAATCTGCCAATTCTTTTGAGAACTCGAGCGTTACCGCAACGGTGGCAACTGGGAAGATCAAATGTAGCGATAAAGGAACAATGAAGCTGACCGATTGTAGGAGGACAAACCTTTGAGTAGTGGCGATTTTGGGAGAAGAAGCAATAGCAATGCAAAGAGGAGAAACTCTCAAGCCTTTTGTAATTTGTGGGGGCAGTTTTGACCAATTTTAATTTTTTTTCATTTACCCTATAGTTGGGAGCCTAACTTATCAAAGTTTGAGAAAGGTATCACTAATCCAGGTAGGTTAAGTGATACATGAAAAAATAAATTTTACCAAGGTCTCACATGTTTCCAAATACAAACATGGGTAAGTTGGTCAATGGGAGGCACAATCCCATTGACGAACTCCCCCTTCACTTTCCCAAAAAAAAAAAACAAACGGGCCCTAAGGTGGGAATGAATATCCAAATTTAAATCCAATTTGATTCTAATGCTCATAATACCCTAAAAAAAAAATCCCCAGAACAACTAACTTATGCAAATTACATAATGCATCACCAAGAAAATATAAGGAAATTCGTAGAAAAATAGAAAATGTAAAACTAACTCAAACGCTAGATCAATGAGAGAGATTTTATGAGATGATCCCTATTCCCATTCTTTTTTATTGAGTTCAACCCAACTTCCAAATTTAAAGACAGAGTTGAAAATAAACTCCAAAGGAGATGATTATAAGAATATTATAGAGAGTAGAGAATAGAAGATAATTTTTTTGAGAAAAAAAACTTGTTTATTGAAAGCATTGATGATGCCTTTCTATTAGTTTTTAATCCTTCTCTTTGAGCAATGCCCTACCTTTGAAGTTTTTTTTTTTTTTTTATTATTATTTTGAGAAACACCACCTCAGCACCATGTGTATCCAGCTGGTGGAAATCTTCTCAAATTGATGAATGTAAAGCTCAGTTCGGAAAGAATATAAATACAAATATATAGATTGCAAAACCTTATATTTTGTATATATTTAATTATTTATACTTAGACTCATTTGGGAAAAAATGCAAATATATACAATATAATACAAAATGCAAGCTCTACATATTTGTATATGTACTCTTCCAAACTGAGCCTAATTAACAGTTCCATTGGAGAGCTTAATTGGAAGAAGTGAGGAATCTCCCAATGTATATGATGAGTAGGTAGAACATAAGTGTATTT